GACAGCCTGTTCATACAGACGGGCTGTCGCGGGACAGGGCTTAGCTTTGTGCTGCAGCAGATTATCTAATAGAATCATAGAATAGTTAGGGTTGGAAAGGACCTTAAGATCATCTAGTTCCAGCCCCCCTGCCATGGGCAGGGACACTTCACACTAAATCATGTCACCCAAGGTTCTGTCTCCTTATAGGTGGCACCAACAAACCATGGGAGAGGATTTGTATGTCCTAACAGCTCTGGGAGTAGCAGCCATTGTCTTCTGGCAGTGTGGGATGGGATGTGGGAAGCGCAGTTGTGGCAGGGGTGCATCCTGAGCGGAATTCCCAAGCCTTGCCAAGAGGTTTTGGGGGAGCTGTTTGTAATTTGATGAAAAATTGCAATATCGTTTGATTAATATTGCTATTCACAAATGATCTAGAAATTCTGTGGGGGTTGCTCTAGTGATTTGAACCACTTCTTTGCACAGGCTATTTTTATAAGACCTTTGTTTTTTTCTTTATCTGGAGCTAAGCTTTTTCTGCAGTGGAGAAAAACATTTCAGTAGTTACTTACTGTCAGGTTTCTACTGGAGCAGCAAAAAAGAGCAAAAAATGGCCACTTAATTTTTTAGTGAAAAAGTGGAAACTTGCCATATGGAAGCTACTTAAAAGTTGGACCAAAAGTCTTCATTCTGCATTTTATGTTGTAAGAATCAGATATCAACTACTGCTTTTTCTGTAGTGATTTTTTCTAGGAGACGTTTGCAAGGAGGAATAAAGCCAAACTTCTAAATTAAAATAAAAATAATAAAAAAAAAAAAGTACTTACAGCAATTTTTCAATCTTTAGTAGTTGCCCTGCTATTTGGTATTATGGTCTGGGAGACTCACCATGGCTTTGTGGAAAAACATTTGTTAAACACAGGCTGCTGCTTCTTTCAAACAGTCAGGTTCCAAATACACCCAGAGTTTCATATTCCAAGAAGCATTTCCATTTGTTTTTAGAATGATTCACCTTTCTATCCTCTTTCTGTATATTAAAAAAAAAAAGTGTTGATTTTTTTTTTCCTTTTTTTTTTTTCCCTTAAAGAATGACACTATGTAGAAGGGAAGCAGTGGTATTATTAAACTCCGATTATGGTACTTTACATGCTTCACCCTTTCATTTAGTAATTTCTAGTGACACAAATGAATGGACATACGTAAATGGACATTTATATATGTCTTATAAATAAGTAGAATGGCCATAATACCCAATTAAAAGTTTGTGTGAGCAAATTCTTAGTCAATTACTGCTATTTATGAGCTCCTGTTAAATAAATAATACTCTTACAAAGAAAATAGCAGTAGCATATTTTAACCATGTTCACAGAGGTACAAAAGAACTCAGGGAAATAGGGGTAGCTGTTATTAGATGAACTAGTATCCATTTGAAAAAAGGGACAAATGGTTGGGTGACTGATTTTGTTCTTGACATACAGAAATATATTATCAATTTGGGGGAGAAGAAAATCTTTTATTATAGCTGTCTGTAGGAGTATAAAGAAAGATCTTTTACTTCTCAATTAAGCTGTAAATGTGATGCTGAATACACACTTACAGGAAGGAGCAAACAGTTGTGCACAGGAAGAAAGCTGTTGTTGAAAAAGACACCAAGTCTTGTGGTGCTTGGGTTTTTTTCTGAATTTCTTTGAGCACAGATGAAACTCCTTCTCAAAGCAAAATGATTCCTATTGGGCATAGGATTTATGTTAGGGGCTACATAAAGGGCAAGTACATTAGTTTGTAAATGTTGCACCACGGTAGACTTGGAAAGAGAGAATTAAACTCTCAGAACAAAGCTTGCCTAATGCCACATGACACAAATCTCAACAAAGAGTATCTTAACAGGTAGGGGGTAGAGGAGGAAAAAATCCCATAGCCTCTGTATCCCAGCAGGAGCATGTAAGTAATGCAGTGTGAGGCTTAGATGGAAAAATACTGGAAGTTTGAAGAATGTGCACTATACAAACTGTACTGGTTTCTAACACACGTTGTTTGTGTCAATTCTGTAGCTCCTTTAGTACAGTATCTTGCATAAGTGTTATCCTGAGAAATATTTCCTAGCTTACAATAGTATCTGACATGCAGAAGTGCTTGATTGCATGGAGATAATCAGTCAGCAAATCCTGTTGTCTCTCAGTTTCTAAATTCAAGTGATAATTCTGCATTCATCTAACATCAATCTGTGGCAAAAAGCCCAAAAGAAGGATTAGAGCAAAGGAATTTGGTGAGCAGCGGGAGAAGGAACCATGATTTGCAAAGACTCCTCTCAGAGTTGTGTTTCAGGAGAAAATGTGCATTAACTTGTGCCTCATATTGCTTTTAAAAATACATTTGTGTGTGTGTGTTTAAAATAATTGTAATGTAGACATTGCATCAGTGATTGCTTTACAGAGTCTTTTCCTTCTGTCTTCTCAGACTGCATAAAGCTATAGTTCTGTAAGCAAAGATTATATGTATTCATTGTGTTACCTACTCCAACTACTCGAACATTCTGACCCTTTTAAGCCTAGTTATGTGGGAATAATCAGTTTTAAAATTGTATGAGAGAATCTGCGCAGCACTTTCACTGCTGTGATTGACTCTGTTGAATTTCATCTACTGTAAGTCCTGATATAAAGAAACTTAAAATGTTATTACTTTGGGATTAGCTCAAATTGTAAAGGGACCTCTTATGTTTTTTTACATCTGACAGCATCTTAATCACTCTGTAAATATATATTTTTGCGTTGTGATTATAAAATGCCACATATATATTTACAGCATCTTTTTAAAAGTTAAATACCCATTAGTCCTTTCATTTGTGTGCATGTGTAAGACTTCTATTGCTAAAACCTCCCAAGAATGCATTTTGGTTTTCTTTCCTCTATATTCACAGTTGCACTCTGCAAACATAACCTGGAGCATTAGTCTCTTTGCTACAAAGTATGGATTGTAAATTGGCTAGTTTAAGTGTGTAATAGAGAATATTTGGGAAAGAGAGTTGCCGTGCAGTGTATCATGAGCTTCAGTGACTTAAGGGCTGGAAGAACCACAACACTGTTCAGATGTTTTCACGCTTACCAAGACAAGCCACTGTAAAACATGATAATGAACGGATAATCAGCTGCAGCTTCACAACTCAAACCCTTCCCATTTTTTGAACATTCCCTATTTTGCTTCCTTGTAAGAATAAGTCTAGCTTCACAGTCTATAAAAATATTTGTATTTGTCTGAGCAGCCCCTCTGAGCCCGAGCAGCAGACGATGTGAAAGAAAAATAGGGTTGTTACAAACGTGTATTTAGTCTCAGAGGAGTAGTTCACAGTTTTCCAAACTTTTTTTGCTCCTGTTGTCACACTGCTGAGAGTGGTGGCCAAGGCAGCTTCACAGGTGGAGTCTACCTCCCACTAAATAGTATGTTCAACTACGGTTCAACTCCTCACTCATGTGGAGTCTAAAGTGGTAGGTCCTGCCGTCTACATTGATGAACGATATAGATAGCTTCACAGTTTCATGTTCATGGAAGGAATTCTTGTTGCTGGTGTATTAGCTGCTATAGTTAGATTGTTTTCTCTGCTGTTTTATAGGCAGAGGTGTAGAAATAGAACATAAATAGTAGGGGAGGAGATTAAATTTAGCATAGTTCTCCTGAAGATATATATGAGCAACTTTTCAATCATACTTTATTTACACAAAATTGCCACTATTGGATAAGACAGTTTGTCACCATACAATCTGCTTGAAAACTGTGCCCCACATCTGTAGCATTTACTCACAGTCTTTTGTCCCTGAAGCCTGGGTTTGGTGCACCTATAAAAAAATATTTACTAATTTAAATCCTTTTCCTTAGAGAGACTTTTATATAGGATTTTAATTTTCTAACTGTCTTTGGGTGGTTTCCAGAGCATGTAATACAGGAATTGTGGTATTATTTGACTGAGGGCTGTTAGAAAGTGAGTTTATTTTGAACAGAAAGTAGATACTTATAAATCAGGGGAAACACTGTATATTTTGAAACTGTTCATGGTGAAATATCCCCCATCTTTGTGTGTGTGTGCGTGTCTACATGGTCACAGATGTAATTTGCTGTGACTGGATTAGTGGATAATTCCAATTATCTGGTATCCAGGCAGTGACTGACGTTGTGCCCACATTTTATCAAAAGTCAGTGTTGCAGTTATCTTAAGCAGACGTATTTCCTGACAAAGCACTTCAATGGAGTTCCACACGGCTGAACTACTTTTCAAACTAAGTCAGGCATCATGAAATAAGGTCTGTTCAGTGTGAGTCATTTGGACCTTGATACCTTCTGGTCATATTTTGCCAACTTAGTTTATTCTGGTTCGTTCTCTACTCTGGAGTTAGTTTCTTCTCTGCCAGGTAAGTAGCATTTCAGTGAAGCTGAATAAACAGCAGAATAAAACCCTAGAAATAAGCAAGAAAATGGTTGCTTTAGTCTAACTTCTCTGATCTTCTTTATCAGTCAGTGATAAGTAAGAGGGACTTGAGAAAGTGCGGAAGATGAGCTGGAGTTGGATGTTGTGGAGTTTGTTGACTACTCCACAACTTCAAGGAAGGCAAGGGGCATCTTGTAGACCCTCACAATGTCCGACTGTGTAACCTGGGAGATAAATACACTAATTTAATGCTATAAACAGCACCACTCTGATTATATATAGCTGCATTTGTCACATTAAAGCAATAGAAAGTAACTTACTAAAAATGTAAGTAGAGGTTTTCAGAGTTCTACTGAAAGCAATTAAGGAAAATAACGTTCTCCAAATATGAAAATATAATTAAAAGCTTAGCCTGTTGTTTTGGCCTAAAATATAGTTCTAGATGGCATGATGGGTGATGGGTTTTTTTTTTGGGGGGGGGGTTTGTTGTTTTTTTTCTTTGCTTGTTTGTTCTGAGTTTCTTTTTTGGGGAGAGCGGGGGTTAGAATGTGGTGCAGGGGGGTTGGGTTTGGGGGTTTTCTATTTTTCTCTCTTTTTTTTTTTTTTTAATTTCTTTTAGTGATTTTATTCCAAAGCAAAGTGACCCTAGCTGGTAAATTATCAGAGGGACTTTATAATAGGTTTCTTCTCTCATGCTCTTGCAACTGCTCACTGAATTGGGCTCTTACATCCTGATTTGTGCTGTCAGTGGCACAGATCTGTTAACTCATTGTATGAGTTTATCACTTCTTGTTGTTCTGATTTTAAAAGTCTTATTTGTTATTGCAGTTTATGTGTTCTTAGAACACATAATAAAGAGGGACATTTGGTGATGTTTGGCTTATTTAGAAAATAGTTATGATCTAAAAAATCATAACTCTGGTTTTATGAGGAAAAACAACCCAAGAGTGAACAAAAGCAAGCCATTAATAAAGGAATGTGTAACTGAGGACCATTTGGTGATCTTGAGCTTCCTTTGCAAATAGACTGTTACAGTCTATTTTGAACTCAACGTCCAAATGTTACCAGCTCTAATACAAAGCAGATTTATTAGATATTGTCATAAAAAGTGCTATTTATTTATGTTTGTTGGTTTTGGTCTCTTTTTTAATGTTCCCTTAGGTTTGGAAGGCTGACTGAGGATAGCAGAGGCTTCAAAACAGTAAGTACGGAAAGCATCAAGTATCTAGCTGACATCTTCTAAAAATTAATTATCCAAATCACATTACTTTTACACAAAATCTTACTCAATAGCAAGCACTGGATATTGCTGAGAATGGAAGTATTTTCCATTAATTAAGAGTTCTCAAAAAGTGTATCGTAAAATAGAAAACACATGCCATTAATATTCACTTGGGGCTAAAGAACAACTTCGATAATATCTGTACTCATTAAAGTTTTCATTCCAAATACTAATTATCATACAGATCTCTTGCATCAGAAGATTGCTTGTTTCAGATAAGCACACAGAAAACTTCCTTCTCCAAGAACAACTCTCTATTACTCTGATTTTTAATGCAGTGGAGAAATAACATGGAAAAATTATATATTCCATGTGTTTGAAAGAAGTTTCTAACATGTCAGGGTGCAAAAGGAAAATGTGCCTTTTTGAGTAAATGGTAGGAAGGAGTGCAGTTGTCTACAGAGGACAATATAAGAAAATAGCCTTGTTGTCTTGATAGTAATAGGTTCTATACTCAACTAATATTCTATATTGTGTGTTCTATACTACTTTAAATCTGTAAACAAAGTAATGCTACTCATGTAATTAGTGATTTTTTTTTCTGCAATAAACCTTTCCTGTTTTACTCTCTTGGTTTTTTTCTAGAAGTCAGGTGTAGCAAACAGGTGGTGAATGAATCCATGATAAGGCTTTCATGACTATTGCACAAGTATTTGTTTCTCTAATATCTTAAAACAGTTAAGTTCCAGTGGAAATCCTCAAGGCAATGGATACATATGTACACACAAAACATTTATTTAAACATACACATATATTTATAGATATGCACAGAAAAGCAGATATCATTATCAAGATGTTTCTGTAGAATATAATGGGGATGGGTTATGTAGAAATTTTTGTAAAATCTGCAGCTAGTAATAATGGTGATTTTTTCTGTGATTTTTATTAAGAACTATTTAGAATATTACAGTAGACTTTCAGTAACTTTGCAGAGCATACCAGGGATAGCACTTTCTTATATAAATCTACTTTTTAATTCACCACTGCTGTGATATAATGTCCTTTTTTACTAGTATATCTAGACTTGCTATTAAGTGAATATTTAAATGTAGTCTTTAGCATTATTAACGTAATAAATTTTAAGCAATCTAAGCAGTTGGAACTGTTATGACTGTAGCTGAGCAACTAATTGGAAATATTAGTCACAAATTGTTTCAATAGATTCTTGAATGAGTAATTGTCACAGCTTTACTTGTAATGATGTATGCTAATTCAATTTGTTTGCATGAATCCTGAAATGAGACTAGTTTTCAGAGAAATCTTTCATGTGTATAGATCATTTGGGGTTTAACTAAATTCATAACTGCAGTTCAGGTATTTCATAATTCCTCTTGGAGCTGCTTCATATGTCACAAATGCACTCCATGATTTGGGAAGCCAATCATGAAACATGAATAATAAAGAAAGAAGACCTATGAAAGCCCCCACTTCATCCCACTTCATTGCGGAAGCTCTTTCTCAGTGCTTCATTAAGCAGCTCCAGCCTGAGCTGTCTTGGTTTTATGGTATAGGTTTACTGTTGAGTCCATTCATGTACTTGGACCTGGACATTAAGATTCACATGGTTTAAACATAGAAGCATTCATTTAAAACCAGTATTTAGATACTTAGGGGTGAGGAGCTACTCAGAGTCCTGACAGACACAAATGCCTGCCTTTCTAGATATACAAATGCTAATAAATGTTTCTGCCTGCATTGCTACATCTGCTTTGAGCTGGCAAGTTAGTGCTGTGTTTTAAAATGACACATAGTTATCATTCTTTTGGGGGGGGCTATAATTTTTCTGAGTTGTCTATTTAATGAAATGAAGAGCTAAATTTTCATTTACTGTAATGTAGTATAGACCCTGTTAAAGAGAAGAGCTGTGCCAGTTCCTGCAAGCACAAGCAAACTGACGCTTTAGAACATCACTTGCCTGATGCCAAAAGGACTACTTCTTAACACAGGTTTGAAAATATCTGATGTAAAATCACCACTGTGAAACTTACAATACTTTTAAAATAATACAAACTAAAATGTAGTAATCTGTTTCTGTTTGGAAAATTGCAAAGGATTTTCTTCAGGATGCAGTTTTATGACTGAAATGCAAATGTTGAGTTAAATTTACAAGCAGGGATGATTTTAAAATTATCTTTAAAACAATTCTACCATTTTTTATATTAATCTCATCATGTAAAGTGTTTGGCTAAACCTGTTTAGATTGAAATCTGTATTAGTTTTAACCTGAAAAAATATTTTGTATTGCTATTTTTCTAAAAGCAGTTATTACAGTGAAAGCTCCTAGCCTCTTAGAAGTGAAGGAAGAAAGCATGAGTCAAAACCTATTAAAAAGCAACAGTGATCATGAAAAAGAGGCTCAGTTTTATTGGCTGGTCATGACTATGTACACATTTATATGTTAGACCTGTTCACAAGCATTACAGAAGTAGCTATTGCTTATGGTTTTTTTTTCTCCCACAAAGTCATTATTTTATGTTTTATTGAAGATGCTTTAGTTCAAAATTATCTTATAAAACTCTGCATTATAGACTCATGAAATAGCAGTAAAAACATTCTTCTCAATGTAACTTGATAAACTGTAAAAAGTTTTAAACCACAAATAACTTTTAAAGTTTTGGGTGGGGGTCTTACTGAAAAAAAACCACCCAAAACAAAATGCCACACACCAAAAACCCAAAACCAAACTAAAACCACAACATAGACAACTTTTACTTACAGGATTCTGCTAGAACATTCTACTATATTTCCAAGACATTATTTACCCAAAGGCTAGGCAATACTGAAAATACTGTAATGAACTATCCTAAGTGCAGAAACAGAATGTCTGCTTCATTTGATAGACTTTTTCAGTTGTAATATGTAATAATTTTACCTCTGTCTCTTTAAAAGGATTTCTGGTAAATATTAGTTTCAGGAATTTTCATAGCACCTTTTGCTTGGAAACACACAGGCCAAGGGTGTGAGGGTGGCAAGACTGTCTTTATAATATGTGACTGATAGTAAGTTAGGAAGGTAAATAGCAACCCACCTGCGTAAAAGGTCGTATTATACAAATAAAGGATACCAATGAAATTTCAGTTTGTTTATTTACAAGATTTACACAACTTAGTATCTAAATAACTCCTCTTGGTTTTAAAGAGAACTGTGTGGTCTTTCGACTCATGTTTGCAACATGTTCTTTTCAGCCTGAAAAGTAGGTTGCCAAGCTAGTTTTAGGTAATGTCCTTTTAGGTATTTTCCTAAGCAGAGGTTCTTTCTCAGTAGTCTTAGTAGGATTCCTGTAAACTGGATATTGCGCTGTGTTAGAAATGTAAATATAAAAGAATAGTATGAAATTATAAATGTTTGGTAAATGTATAACTGTATACACACCTGAATATGCCTCTGCATGATTTACTACGCTATGAGCAAGATCCTGATAGTCTGTTACTGTTAGATAATGTTGTTCTGTTAAAATAATCCAGACTAAATTACTTTTAAGAGTATTTTAATAATTTCAAGAAGATAATTCAAGCCACAATATACATTCTTAAAAAACATCCTTAATCTCTTTTTTCCTAGCTTATTACATATTAGTGTTTCACAAAAGAAATTATACTCCATCTTTGCCAGGGATTGGTTTTGAAAGTATAGTACTGCCATCCTCTTTTGTTTAAGGAAAAAAAAAAAAAAAGACATTTCCTGCCAAAGGATTTTCCCCTTTCCACATAAAGCCTGATCTTACAGATGTGGGAATTACTATCAGTACATATTCACATCTGAATAGGGACACTGGGGATAATACTAATTACAAGACAAATGAGAGAAGAAATCACTACTGAGAGAGTATTTTACAGTTTGAAAATATTTTTCAGGTGTTGAACTAGCTTTATCCCTGGAATAAGTTTTCCTTTTTAACTGCTATTGCATCAGGGAACTTTTATCACACACATAATAACTCACAGCATGAAGGCCTTGTTAATTATCTCTTCCAAGCTTTTGTAACCTGGAATAAACTATCACCAGAGATATTCTGTTAAAGCTAGTAATGTGACTGATGTGGTTAGAGCTGAAATGTATGCAAATGTGGCCAGAAGATAAGGCCTCTAAATAGCTTTTTCTTTGGGATGTGTTGGTGGTTTTGATGGTAGGAACATTTGACCACTGGAATGCAGAAATTACCATCGCATTTCACTGATCAGCAGCCATTGGATGATGGTAACACTGTCACTCCAGTGAATCCAGCACCATTTCAAGCTTCCATAACTTCAGCTGTTTGAGTCTCAGGTCAGCTGTAAATCTCCAGTCGAACAATTGCCATCAGGTGTCGAAGAAACAGGAGAAGGTTTCAAAGGCTCTCTGCTACCAGGGCATCTGGCATACTGAAAGGAAAGGAATACAAAGAAAAGCTCTGAATTTCCTGCCATTTTTTTAAAAAGCCCTCCAACTGTCAACCATGAAAGAAATAAGCTATTGTATTAGCCAGTACTCTCATCTCCCAGAGGAGAGAAATATTTCTGAGCTTCATTACATCTCCAGATATACAATTAGTTGAGCCCCCACTAAAATACCTGCCATTCTTAATTTAGTCCTTCAAAAAAGACCATTCAAAGCTGAAAATTATGGTAGTGCTGGTTAATAAAAAAAAAAAAAAAAAAAAGAAAAGAAATCAAGAAGAAAATCTGAGTCCCTTCATCTATAAAATAATTGATTACTTCTTTCTATTAAAAAAGAGTCATGATTATAAAATGCTGTAATTGTAAGCTAAATACTTGTAGGCATTCACTCAACTTTCATGAGAGCACCTATGATAATCAGATCCCTAATCAGTGGCTGGAAGCAGTTAAACTATCCTACTTATTACAGTGTTTTAGTACTTTCATGTACTTTAAATAGGAAGTGAATCTGATAGTTCATATACCTTATATATTTGTATCTCACTAAGATATACAATAAAGGAATTAGTGTAACTTAAAGTAATTCTGTAGAATGTCATTCTGGGAAGAAGAAAGGCTTTTCTAACCAAAGTAGTTTGAATGGTAGTAGTTCCTCTTAGATACCACTCATGTTTACAGCTTTCTATTTGGGAACATGGAAAGCTAGACTTTGGGCTTTTCCAATACAGTATAAAACCTGCCGTATAAAAACTACATATAAAAAAATAGCTAATGGGCACTAGCCAAGATCAGACAATATATTATGAACAAAACTAAATACCAAATTTTGATTAATTTTAACTACTGGCTCGCAGAGAAAGGCCACTAGAGGCATGCAGCCCATTCCCCTTATTAGACTGCTGAATAATTCTTGGGTTTGTGTGCCACACTGGACAACGTTTAGAATTAATAGTCAGTGAAGTCAATATTTAGTCTGGTTAGATTTTTAAGTAGTTGGATATAAATATCTCATTATTATGACACTTTTTCCAGTTTCCATTATTGTCACATCTGATTTAGTTTTAAACTAAAATATGAGAAGAAGAGCCATACCAGTTATCCACACAAATATATCTCACCTAAGATTTATTTTTTCTGTACGGTTGCAATCTCTAGCTGAATTCCTTGCATGAAAAAATGTATCAGTTTAAATTCCAGAGTGAGAAGAAGAAAATTACTAATCCATCTTCTTCAGAGATCATTGGTCACCTGTTGCAGAAGATGTTCAGAAACAGAAAAGAGCGTGAGGCTCTAACAAAGTCAGTAAAACCTTTGAAGAAGTCAAAGTCATTATTTGATTATTTAAATAAACCATCAGCTAAACTTGCTTTATTTGCAGTTGTTCAGCTTTGCTTCAGCCATTGACTGCTAACAATCCTGTAAACGTTTGGCATATGTTTGAGACATTTTGTTGATTTTGGTTTTTTACTTCAAGACCTCCTCTCCCCCAAAGTTTTGCTGTTTAATGGTGTATGGATTATTCATATGTTAAACTCTCTCACCTATATTTAACTGCAAATCCTAAATTAATTGAAAAAACTCCACAACAGTGCCTGATATTCTGCTGTGCTACTTAGCAGTGATGTTAGACTAAGTCAAAAGCTCCTTTAAAAGAATTGTGGCATGCTTCCAAGAAAAAAAGGAGTAAAAGAAAAGCAGCCTGCTAGCTGTACGATATTAAGAGTTAAGCCACTGTTAAAGAGAATTAAAATCATGGACTCCATTTCTACAGGCAGTCACACATGTGTTTTACTTTAAACATGTCAGTAGTTCTATGGGCTTCGGTGCGCCTCCCTGCATTGATTAGAGGTACTGAGCTATTATATACGTGCCAGAGAGAAATTCTTACTGAGCTTTTGTCCTTAACCTTGGGTCCTCCCATTTCTGCTGATGCATGTGCAACAAAACCTGGGAAATTAATGATGGGAGGCATTGCTAAAAACCTTCGCCGCCAGCTGAAAGCAGTGACCATACACTCAAAAACTTAAACTGAAATTCTGTTACGGTACACAGGAGCATCTGCTTTCAAAATGAGCTTTTCTGCCCAGAAGGCTGTAGAGCTGCACGAGAACATTCCAGCCTTTTTGTTCTACATACACTTCCTGTTATTTATGATCCTAATTCATTGTGAAGTTTCATGTTAATGTAAGTGAATTACTTTCTCTGTGTACAATAGATTCATAAATATTTGTATGCAGATTTATATATATGAAACATTTTGTAGGTAGAGACATACATTTCCTCATGGCAAAATGGCACACGCATGCTGTCCTCTGTTTTTTCAAGGTAACACAAAAATACCGACCACTTTAACTGACTGAACAATTTCAATCATGACTGATTGAATGGCTGCCCACCTCTTCATGTGTAAATAAAAACTTTTGTTAAAATACAGATGAATTACTTCATTTAAACCCTGGGAAAAAAAAATTTGATTTGGCCTGCGCATTTGTTCATTAGATCCAGATGTACACTATCAACTGTCCGTAGCTGGTTTTACTAATAAATCATGCCTGAAGGATTTTGTTTTGCAAGGTGGCAAGAGTGTTCTTTGTTTTGTTGTTGTTGTTTTTTAGCACAGTCGATTTATTTGGTTTGTTTTGTTTTTTTACTTAGGATCTCCTGGCAACAGTACAGTATTTGGTTTTCAGCACAGAAGTGTATGTTGTACTGAGAGTCACAGCTAAAACTCCACAGCTTACAGAGCAGAACATGCAGACCTTGTGGATGTCAAAACTAAAACCAGACGAAACCAATTTCATACATTGTTTAGCTGCTTTGTTAACACCTACCTAGTATCTAAGGGAAAAAAGGACATAGCTGTACACATATTCTTTAATGCACACAAAAGTAGTCATTTTCCAACCAACTTTCAACCGTATTTAACAGAAACCCCAAATGTCATCTCCTCCTCACTCTTCTCTATCTCCTATGCAGGACAGGACAGAGGGAACCCTTTCATAATTACATTTTTTGTAACTGAGTGATGTATAAAGGGAACTCATCTATCCTGCTGTCCCATATAAACCCTAAACAGCATTAGCTATGTTGTCTGAGCCCTCTGTCCATGGAAATACAGACTCATTTCTCTTTCTAAAAATGTTAAGGTTGTAAGGAACTTTTATCTCTGCAAAATGCTTAAGTGACTATTTCAAGGAATTTGCAGTCCTAGTGATAGCAGTAAGAAAGCTCTGCAGCATCTTGCAGAATCGGACTTTATGTCAATCTATGCACATTAGTTGTAACCTTTCTTGTCTTTTCAATGATAAATCTTTCCAGAGGATGGAGTGGTTTTCTCATAAGCAATACTATGCAAAAAAAACTCCATATTTACAGCATTTTATATATGTATGGTAATATAACACATACATCATGTGGTTATACAGTGTATTTATTGCCCTAGTTTGTTAAATTAAATCTGCCAGTTGGGATGCTCTAGGAGGTATTGGACAGGATTATTCCTGCTTTGTAACAGACAATACTGTGATTTTTCCTAATCTGCTCAATTTTTATGACAACCACGTGTCCTCTAACAAAATTCTTTTCTAGAGGTAAAGCCATAATTTTAATGAAACCTTCTGTTCCCTTGGAAACGTATGTTTTTGAAACTTTTGTGCTTATTTACAGCTTTAGTAGTGTTTATTTTTCTCGTCTTTGTTGACTGTAAAATCAGACTGACTATTTTTCACTCCCTTGCCGGTGTTATACTGCGACTAGCAATTAATAGACCGCTTAATGAACTCTTAAGGTATATGGAAGACAATAACTATGACAACTGTTTCTACTCCCCTCCATTTCTAAGTTCCCAAGACCCACCACCCTGCACGTATTCTGCTTAAAGATCCTGGTAGTGTGAAAGTAGAATGTGAGCAAAGGTGCTTTAATTCCTGTTTTCTTTTGTTAAAGGCCATTATACTTTGACAAAACTTACTCTGTGAGCATTAAAGTGATGCTTACTAGCAGTGTTTGTTTGGTGACGCAGGTAGGCAGCATTTCTGTCATGACATAATATGAATCTCTGCTTCTGGAGCTGAAATTTCTTGTTGTGGTCATGTTTAAAGTTGAAACACCATCAACAGTGCTGAAGATCCATGCCCTGTGTAAACCCTGGATGTCCTTGCATGAATCGGCTGGCTTAATATTTCCTCCAGCTGCCATGCCATGCTTAAACTGTAAAAAACCCAAAAGCTGTGGTCACTTTGAGTGGTTTATGTATAGAACATGAAAGTTCTATAGCTGAGGTTTTCACTGGTGAGAAAAATTAGTATTCAGTCACAATGGCTCATGTTTCCTGCTTTTTAATGAGAATCAATACCAAAGAGGATGGAGCTGCTTTAGAGGTAATTTAGAAGATCTGGGATGGCATAAATTACAGAAAATTCATGTAGGCGAAAGAGCAAAGCTCTTATCCAGAATTACCCAAAGGACTGTATGCTCTGGCCTCACTCCATGCCTTCCCTGGCAGTCAGATGATGCATATGCTAAGGAGGAAGGACTCTTCTGAAAGCAGCCTTACAAAAGTAGCTTCAGATCTCTTACTCAGAGAATCCTCTCATAACTTCTGCATTGTGTCTTTTACAAAGCCTATAACACTGGAATTAACAGTAGGCAAAGTCTGCACACATGCAGGTATGAGAGAAAGGAACCTGAGCAGGTTAGGCAACAAACACAAGTTGGAGCAGCATAAACCCAGCTTGCCTTGTTATTAAAATAAACAAACAAACAAAACCAACATCACCCCCCCACAACAAAACAAAACAACAAAACACGCACACATACACACACACACCCCCCAACCAAACAAACCAGCCATCCAACCAAAATAAAAAAAACAAACAAAAAAGAAAACCCAAAAAAACCCCAACAAACCAGCCTAAGCTGTCCATGCAAGAGTGAGCAGAGATATGGTGGAAATGAAACATTACAAAAGGGAGCATAGTGTGCTTTGCATAAGCTGCCTAAAGCTAGAGGTATTAATACAGTGATATTTTCTGGTAAAAAATTCTTCTTATTTTTTACTGAACTCTTTGATTAAAACAATAGAAAGAAAAAAGTGTGTATGTTAAACTTGCTGAGATCACTGGGAAACAAACAGCTTCTTTTCCTGAGAACAATAACATACTCCTAGTATGAAGTCGTATTTTAGGACTGCTTAACTGTCCTTTTAAAAATAACAGGTGATAACTACTCCTGCAGTCTATGTTAAAACCCCAGATAAGCATAAGCTATTACTAGGTCCCCAGGTTGCTCGGGGAACATGGTTGATATGTCAAACAAGAGTAATCAGTTTCACTCTTTAGAAACAAAAACGTTAGACAAGACAAAGAAAAATAAGACTGGCTAGAGTGTGTTTTATCTTTCAGAATTTGCTGAGTTCTTTAGTTCTACTGTCCATGTACGGACAGTCATTTTCAGCTGTTCCACTTCAAACTGTATTTTGGCCTCAACCTTGATTTTCAGGGATTTTGACATGTCGTTGTTTATCACCCTACTTTATGCAGCAAGGAAACGTATTTACAGGCTCCTGACCCTTTGCATTGTGTCTCTAAGTACACCATAAATTTTATGTGCATACCAGGAATCCCTATGCATCTGGTGAAATCCACATGTAACTTTCTGTGCCCATATTCCGTCATATTTTTACATGAACACATGGCTTTTATAACAGATCCTGCTCACGATTTGAGGCCCTCCTTTTTCTGTGATCTAGCCATGGGATGGATTTTTCATTAATAAGGCCCTAAGACTTTACACTTGACTTTGGAAAAAGGACAGGCACTGGTGCCAAGTTTTGAACTCCTCGCTTATTATAATTCCGTCTGTTGTGTCACACACATGCAAATATGTAATTCCGGGAGAAGCCAGAGTCCAGATTGTCAAATGGGCCTCAGTGGGCAGCAGGTTTTACTGCATGTTTGACAGCAGTGGTCCTGGACACGCTGCTGCAGATAACTGATGGCTCAGAGCTGATCTGTCAGTGTACAAAAAGTAGAACCTGGGGGGAATTTCTTCACCCAAGTAGGCAGTGTGCTATCATGCACACATGCCTTGGCAAAGTGCCTTAGTTTTGATCATTTAGCACAAAGAACTTCCTTTCTGTCTTAGGTTTCATTCTGCTGTCTTCTAGCTTCCTTTAGTGTAACAGCCTCCTACCCATCAATGCCTAATCCTAGAAGAAAGGCACATTGCGTTATCAGAACTACCCCTACTTTTTATTTCAAATAGGCCTGTATGTGCTGCAATTCAAAGAAACCAGGAAAAGAAGGAATACTACCAAATGACTATCATGCCTTAAATTGTCATTAAACCTTCCATCACAGGATCTTTTAACCTCCAGAGAAGCATTAATAAATTCTATTATCAAGTGCATCATGTCTTAATGAAAGCACCTGTGTTCACCTCTAAGTAAGTATTGCTATGCCTTTTAAAACCTTGTCATCTATAATTTCAGAATAAGTAATAGAGAAATGTTATTACAGAGGAGACTTGAAATATAGAGAGTTAAGAAACAGGAAATCTTTTGGCGCAGGCAAGTATGTTTTACCCTGCTTTATTGGTGTTTTCTAATAAACTGTTTTATATAACTGAATAGCATTAAATAGCATTTTACCATTGTACCATTGATCTTAGAGGATGGTCCATGCAGTGCCTGAGACATGGAACATCATTAGATATATAGATAAACATGATGATAAATTAGGAGGAAGGCCTATATCTCCTTTTAGGTACCCAATAAGGCTGTGCCTGAGTTTTGTGTGGAGCTGGCCATATTTCTGCAATAAAAAAAAAAAAAGAAAAAAAAGATCAAACTAAACCAAAAACCCCACTACCAACCAACATTTAAAAAGCATTTCTTTACATTTCAGGGAAAGGGCTGAACTGACAGCTCCCAAAATGAGATGAATTGGCAAATCATAAAAAGTTTGGGCATTATGCGTAAAGGTTTTACTGCATCAACCTGTCAGTGCTTTGAATGCTGCTCCAGAGGGATCATTCTTGGAAGTGAGAGTCAACATCTTGGAGCTCCCTGGAAAGCATAGAGTGCAAATCGGTGCTAATTGGTTTATGGTTTATTTCACCTACACTCCCTAACTGCCAGCCAGCAACAGGGCCAAAAACATTGACTTGTTTAATTCAACCTTTATTACCTGTTTATCATATGCATTTACAAGATATGCATCATTGTAGTATCTGGACATGCTTTGCAACTCCATGGACAAGAAACAGCATCCACTGGCACTGTTAATATTGTTAAGCATTTATTGTGTTCCAGCACTGTTTCTATTGTCTTGTACACAGACTGAAACTGCTGGAAAGGCAGACTTTGTCCCAGGGAACTTGAAATATAGGCAAGCAAATTTTTCCAAACAGCTCAACAAGGCATGGGATTCAGTCCTGGCTTTTTTTCCCCTGACTTTTAGCATTGATAAAAACACAGTTCAGACTAATGAATTTACTCTGTGAAGACCAAGGCCAAAAAAAGACTCTGCCTTTGCATAAGGTTAAGAATGGAACATTTCTTTTAATACTTACACCACACAGATTCCCTGAAAAAGACCATGGCAGGTATCAGAAGCATATTTCTATAATGTCAACTCTTTTAGAGAAGACAAACTTTGATACATACAACTATTAGATATTTCACTTTACCTCCAGGAATTGCTGTTTATATGTGTTTCTGAGTAACTCCTGAGCTTCACATAGTCTGAGAACTATGAAATTATACTGCCTGTAGCCATGGCATTGTGGAGCTCTGAAATCAAATGTGCAATGTTCCTAGCTAGCTAGGATCTAACTTCATTATTGTCCTGGAAACTTAACGTCAGGACTTGAATCAGATTCTGGTATTTCCCAGGGAATACAGGGAATGCTCTACATAAAATATTGCTGAGGATTGGTATGGCTGAAGAAGTGAATTACTGTCAGATTTAGGATTTTGAAGCTGAAATCAGGCAGCAGTGATCAGAGGGAAGGTCTTTCTGAACGTACTTTAAAACTTCTGTTGAAGTGAACAAACTTTATTAGATTTTATTGTTTCATGGTGTATGATGTCACTAGAAATCTTGGATAAGAGTATAATCCAATTCCTTTAAATTTTGAGAATAATTTTTTTCCTTGCACATTAGCTATTTCTGACTGGATATCATTTTGGATTACACATATTTAGACATGTACCTAGTTTTACATCCCTATACTTACATCCCAGTAAAGCACATTGCAATTTTAGCCTCACAGACAGCAGGATCTCACTGCTAAGGTTCATTTGCTGTCCTCAGAAAGCACTTAAATGTGTTCACTTTGAGTATATCAGTCTTTCTCACAATTCCCTTTAAGCCAAAACAAATAATATCTTTAGATTAAAAAGGAAAACACAATTCAAACCTGCTGTGGTTTTCATTAACTTACTTGCAAGAATCTAAAATAGGATAGTGGAAATAAGCCAATCTATAGGATGTACTTTTGTCCTATGAAATGTTCAGTTAATGGAAAGCTTATATTTGAGGCTGAAGCATGTTCTAATATTTTCTTGTAATATCCCGAAGGAGAAAACTAGCAATAAAGTGGAAAAGACAAGAATAGATGCAAAAACTCTGTGTCCTGATTCCCACATCTCTGTTTATAATGAACAAAGTCTGAAAGTGGATGAGCTGATCCAACTAGGTGTTCACAATGAGTTTACTGTGCCAACCTGTACAAGGAATAGGAGTCAGCTCTTCTGAGCCTCATTCAAGCATTGCCCATTGCTACTAAAGACTTCTGGTGCAACTTGCATCACATAAAAAAGCAGGTCCAAAATAAGTCCCACCTAGGCCTTTAAAGCTCTGACGCTGCATTTCCCCAGAGCCTAGACTAGTAGCTCAGATACTAGACACGCATAGAAGTAAATCTGGTAGCCACTGTGTCCCGCGTTTCTTCTATCTTTTACACTGGCCTGCATTCTGAAAGAAAGCTTCACTGTAAGGTGCAGAAGCTCCCATTTATCTCATCGAAGACAAATTTCTAATCATATGTATAAGTGGAGAGACAGGGGCTATCTCACCTGTTACAGCACTTGTTTGCAGGACTTGGGTTCTTCACTTGCTTTAAAAAATGGTAACAAATAGCTGTGATTTGCCTCATTTTCATTGTCACTTTGATCAGAAGAAATAATTTGTAAAGAGGGTGAGAAGGTTGCTCATTTTGTATAGCTCTTTTCTCATGCCATACATACACATGGCTGAATCTCTTCAAACTCTGCTTAAAAAAAGGATCACGTCACTTATATAAAATTGATATCCACAACAAACTTTATGTATGCTTATACTTAAGATAAATCTTGTTAGTAAAGTCTACCTGCTGAGAAAATGTGAAATGGATGTGCAAGTCCAAATGTTTTGTATTACACAATATGAATAAATACAAACACACAGGTACATACACACACACACAAATTTACACATTTATAATCATATAAGACTTTCAAAGGCTCAGTTAAACAAGCATAATTCTGCATAACCTAGCAAAATTTCTGGACACATTCTGCTTTCCAGAAACCCAGCTGACTCTGGTATTTTGTTAGTGGGAAGTGACTGCAAGTAGGGGATTTGAATAAATATTTATTTATGTACAGTTATGTCATCTGCTGGATGCTCCATTATTTTTCTGGCAAAAGGAATGATTAAATGGAAAGAATAAAATGCATGAATGAATGTATGACCTGTCACTGTTTTGTTTTTC